CCAGAGCTACTTTTTCATAGCATGATTTTGTTAAAAATTCCATAATTTTGATGCACTGACTCTAATAATGTCTCAGAAGCCAGAAATTGTCAAGATTATGCTTTGGCGAAATCGACGAGGTCACAAATTATTCCTAATGGTGACAAAATCACGGAGGCCGGGTTTACATGTTGCTGTATGCATGTTGTGTACAAAGTATGACTGCATGCACTGATTGTCTCATTCGCATTGTTTTTTAATTCAAATCTCGTTATGTCTAGCCCAATAAAAAAAACTTGATTGCCCGAACAGGGAAGTGCAATTTCAAGCTACCTGCCCCGGGGCAAATTTTGGTTGCCCCGGGCCATCGGGCAAGCGGGTTTGTCAAGCCCGGCATCGCAGGGTTCGAATTTCGGCTGAAAATTTAGTGGACAGCAGGACCACCAACTTCAGAAAGTTGGTGGACCTGCACAAAAATTTGATGGTCAGCTTGTTTACTAGCAGTGAGTAACAAAATAGTATATAAAGATAACCATTGGAATTAAAACAGCATACGCATAACAAGGAGTTAATGAAGACAAATAGTGTCTTCATTAACTCTTGATGTAACTTAATTAGAGTTGGTCAAATAATGTTTCAATCTCTAGGAATATCGGGGGAGCTTCTGAGTAAGGTTTTACTTTCGTTTTTCTCTTCCCCAGTCCATGGTACCCCCATGCATAGATCTATCAATGCTGCCGCACATCCACAAAGTTACAAGTGCCTAGAATCTTCAAGTATATACAGTTTACATTTCTTCTAAATATCTACCTGAATAAAAACAGTCCACTTTCTACGTGACGAATTTGATTACAGCTGAAAACAGCTTTGATTACGTGCGTGTCAGGTGTCACTGGTCGTGCCCTAACTTCCCACAATAACCCCTGCGATATATAAACTTATTGTTACGCGGTTATAAAAACACATTGATTTCTTAGACTATCGCGAGTTTTTGTTCGTGTGGCGAATCATGCGTTGAGGGAGTTCATGCAGCTCTAGATGTTTTGGATACCCTAGCTGTCTACGTTGAGGAACGGGTCGTAACGCTGCCGGCGGCACGGGAGCGATTTTTTCTCGTAGCTTCCAAAATTTTCGCTCTCGTAATTGTTGTTACAAGAGCGCTTTGAAAGCTGACGGGAGCGAAATCGCTTGCCGCTCCCGTGTATTTTTTCCGCTGATAGGGTTAGGGTTAGGGTTAGTCAGAAATAGCTAAACGAGCCAGGTCAAACAGAGGTCAGGGGGACATAGACCCTACGAGCACTACTAGCCTCTGCTTTCAAAGTTGCGCACCGCAACTTTTCGGCTGCAGGCTACAGATCGAGGGTGTTTCTTATTTATTAATTTAAGAGGAGAAGGAATGCAATATTTTATAAACAACTTTCAGATTCAGTTATAATATGGACGAATTTGTCATAAAATAAAAATCATTCGGTTAAATAGCAGTTAGGTATAAATATAATTGCACTTTTGTGATTACACTCTCCCCTTTGCAATACAGACAGCCAATCGACACACTGAACTAGATCTGTGTTGTACAGAAAAAGTATTACCGAGACAACATCGTGCAAAAAAACGCAGTGACATCTTGCTTCTACTGTAGGCACATAGTAACCTAGGCTTTCACTGCAGATCTATACGGCCCACAACAAACCAGGTAAGACATTGCCGTGTATTTGTGTGCTTGGTCAACTTGCATTTAATGAACGGCCTAATCTGGCCAAATTATAGTGAACTGAGTTTGATTTGAGAGTGGCCGGCTAAAGTCAGGACTTTTAGCTTGCCGGCTCACATTATTTATTTATTTTATCTCAAGCTTAAGATTGCCCCGGCCACGCTGCAAAGATTCTCTACTGTTTATCAGCACTGTTAGTCGTATAGCCCTGTAGTGGGAGCGAAGGGGCCTACACGGGGAAAGCCAGGCGAACACGTACCCGTCGGCGTGGCGTCCGAATCCGCGGTGCCGCTGTCGAACGCGACGCCGGCGACCTTCACGAAGCCGTTGTCGGAGCCGATAGAGTGCGGCGAGCAGCTGCGGACGCCCTCGCCACGAGCGACCTTGATAAAGCTGCTGCTGCTGCTGGTGCTACAGATGCTCAGGTTGTCGCCGCTGACCCTGCAACACGGTTGCCATCAGCGACCCGACGTCACACTCTTATCGTATCACGTAATTCACCATTTGTTTCTGAGCTGAACGCTCCTATGCTCGACAAATATAGACGTGCCCTTAGGTGAGTATTTCTCAAAAGGGCTAGTAAACCAACAGACAATGCTTATAGGCAGAGATAAAAGGGGCCTGTAAAACAGCATCCAGACTGTCTAAAAAGTCAATAATATTATATTACGTATCTATAGTCTCATATACGCATTTCCTCTCAAAAATTACGCGTTATGATAATGGTTTAAGAATGTGCCACTAGGTCATATGCCATATATCATATCATGTCATATATCACCAGTGGCGTAGCCAGGGGGGGGCAATAGGGGCGGTCGCCCACCCTAAGATTTAGAAGGCTACCTTATTTAAACCAGCAGGATTGTTTCAAGTCGATAAAACATGCCAACAACATGCACCCCCCCCCCTTAGATTTAATCCTGGCTACTCCACTGTATATCACACATACAATATATGTGCTATCATTGGGAAAAACACAACACACTCACGGTCTTTGATCTGGCAACTTAGCCAGAAAGTCTGATATTTTTTCCAGGATAAATTGCCGGTCCTTTAACTCAGCGAACAGGAAATTAACCTGAAACAAATATTTTTTCATGTCAAACAAAATATAGCAAGTGAAATCTGCAGTTTTCCTCCCCATGAGATTGCTCTACATTTACAAAACAATACAACATTACACATCATTAGTATAGCCATCCATTCCACCGTTTTTATAATGGCATTACCTGTTAATGGCTACTGATAAAATGACACCAACAGGAAAAACCATACCTTGAGTTTCGTGGTAAAGATCAGTCCATTAGTTATGATGTTGCCCGTGCAAGTCTCCTTCTTCTCCACTACAAACAGGTCCCTCATAGGAATGATCACAGACACAAGGTCTGACACCTGCATATAGCAATGTTAAGCTCTGATCACAAAATCTACCAGTACACAGAAACAGAGCAAAGCACGATTGGTCGGGTAATTTGTCAGAGGCCATGCGTGTGTGGCTACATCAACATAGTATTTCCATGCCAAATGGGCATATACAGACAACTACAAATCCCTGAGACCAATGTATCAGAGAGGTATCACTGTGGTGTACCTTGCATATATATATATATATATTTATACAAATATACTTGCCCTGCTGTCATAGCAGATGTAGTTAGGGGATATAAACATCCTACCCCACACGTGCTGCTTGTTATATGGTGTCCACAGGGTGCATTCTGTATCTCCATGAAGCTTTTCTGTGGAGGGCAACTTGAACTTTATCCTGTAGGTGTAAAAAAAATGAAATCAAATATAAACAAATAGTCATTATGGAAAAAGGAACAATGTAATGACATCTATAGCTGCGTTCACACGTATACACGGCCTAGCTGGTACCGTACTTAGTTGGTGCTAAGTTCGGCTAAACAATGCGTTCACACGAGATACACGAGATTTGAGGCTTAGCTAGCTAGGTATAATATAGACTGGTACCCGGTCGACAGTTCCACACGCTACAACTAACGTCGTGCAGCGAACGGGTACCAGTCTAGGTAAGCGCGCTACAGTTTTGCATTCGAATGCGTTTCACACGACAAACAATACGCGGCCTAGCGTTTGGTTGCCGAATATACGCGGCTTAGTTGGCGCGGAATATGATTCCGCGCTAAGCAAGCCGGAGCAATCGCGGCTAAGCAAGCCGTGGCTAAGCAAGCCGTGGCTAAGCAAGCCGCGTATATTTTAGCGTGTGAACGCTTAAATACGGAACTAAAATCCTCGTGTGAACGCAGCTTATCATACATATATATATATATATATGTATATATACAAGTCCACGATCTCCTATCTGCAATTCCAAAATCTCTGACAGTTTTTCGTAAAGCGTCACTTGTGCACATGTCATAATGAATGATATGTAATGAATGATACTTTTTTGGTCTATATTTATCCCACTCAGTGTGAATATTCATAAGGTGTGCTGCAGAAGTATTCATATGTTTACTTATGCGGTGCTCCTACAGACCCGGCTAAGGTGTTACTGTAATATACAGTATGTGAATCCAACTAGTGCTAAAATCAAAGAAATTCCAAAACACATCTGGCCCAAAGGTTTCAGGTAAATGATTGTGAACATACACAACAAGGAATAAAAATTTAAATAAAACTAAAACTTAATAACAGCAATATCATTATTGTGCCTGTAGTAAAAAAATCATCATATCATTTCATGGCAAACTGCAATTTCATGTGATTTAACCATAACAAATTGTTCCATCCACAAACTAGGTGGAATTTCATCAGTGTTCTTGAATAAACTAGACAGACTGCTTTTGCTACCTGTATGCCTCACTCCTTTGTCTTGCATCGAGATCTCTCTTCAGAGAAGACACTTGTCGTGGCATAAAGTTCCTATGACAAAAAACATTTCACAGCAAAATAGAATATACCAACAATAAAACATTTCACGAACACATAACTACGCCAGCACCTTTCTAAAACATTACCGAAACATTACGCCAATAACATCTTCTTACGGAATCAACACACTTACCTAGTCTTAGAAGGCAAATCCCTATCTTCTTGGAAACCTTCCTCTGTGATAAGGCTAAAAATAAATTAGCAACCGCAATGAACATAATAGCCAAATAAACAAGACGATTTTGTGCAAATTCATTCACATGTCAAGTTCCATTAAACATAGATATGTAGTTTTTTTTAGCTAAACTCCCAACTGAGAAATTGAACACTATAAACATAGCAACCAGATTCAATTCACTCAACTCACTGTTTCATTGCCATGTTGGCAAGCTGTTCCATCAGACGAAGCGTTTCTGCTTTGTGCAGGAACATAGAGAAATATAACTGAAAACAAATATACAGTTACTGCTAGAAAAATCAAGTGCCGCAGTGCGACAGGGCTCATCTGGTGTTTGGTGTTCTGCTGATAAATTCCTTTGTGCATAGCAAGACGTCTTATACATAAGTCTTCTTTATTCTTGTTTGATTTTTGTAGCCAATTCGAACAAATATATCAGCTACACTTTCGCACCGCACACAATCTCTATGCATTGCAGACACATGTGCATTGCAGGTTGGCAGGCAACAATTATGATTAGAAGCGTGGCAGCCATGAGCTGCCCCGTGTTTTTGCCTACTCACGCGAGCATTCACTGATTCAGCCTTCAGGGTGCTATAGACAGACTGCTTTAGTACATAATATGATGTAAGAAGTGTAAACCTTGTTCAACAAACATTTGCCTTTGCAATTCAATTGTGCAACTGTAGAACCTCACATTCACACAGGTATGGGCTCTAATAATAGCAAAAGCAGTTCGGGGCGGCGGGGGGCGGGGGGGGCGGGGGGGGGGAGGGGTGGGGGTCGCTTGGTTAACAGTACAACAAAATCAACAATGTTAACGCCTCCTCTTCGAGGGTCAACAGTTATCCGACACCTTACCTCGCGATGTCAGCGGAAAGTACATTTCATGGTCCTTTCAATAAAGCCATAAAAAAGGTTAAGGTCAAGCCTAACAAACAAGTTTTTCAATCGCCCGTCAGACATTGTCCTGCAGAAATGTGTCTAAACATCTGCCGCGTGGCCCTGTGGGCGCGTCCCCAATTTCGGCACAGTGATGGCTTTTCTACCCGATGATGCCGTATACATCCCGATATCACGAGGCCTAGTCAAGCGCGTTTAGATTGTCCGCAATTCTGCATGTTCTCCCCCTATACCTTAAGTTAAGGAGGATATGTTCCCCCTTCTTTTACACTCTTGACCTTTCCCCTTTGACCCCCCAAGCTCGCATCCCCAAACTCGTTCGATTACCCCCCCCACGTCCCGACTTTCGAATCGCGTACGTCCGAGCCGTTTAGATTTGTGCCGCAACTGTTGACGGATGCACGGCACGACGGCACGCATGGCACAATCAGTGCGATCTACAAGCTGCATCTGACTCTCGGTCAGATGAGCTAAAAACCAATAATGATAAACATCAGTTAAAGCATATACTTACCTTTCACTTATTAAGCTTTATATGATTTTTATCATAATATATGAAATATAATATATATAGTGCATCAAGCGTGATAACATCCGGTGAAATCATTGGATAACGCAGCAGGCACTTAGCAATAGTGGCACTTATTGCCGTGCACGCGCAGGTCCCGGCTCAGACGGGGCACTAATGCTTGCGCGGGACGCATTGTTTATTATATGAGCGCATTGATGTACACAGAGTCAACGAATCTGCCTGCGTCTGGGACGGCTTTGGCCATTAATGAAAGGTCATTATACTGCTTCGCCGGGCCGCCCACGGCAAGAGGTTTGTGAAGCGGGGCAGGGTTGTGCTTTGTGTCGACCGTTTTGGCTACAGGGTCGAAGCACGCGGCAAATTAGGAGTATAAAAGAAGTATATCAAGCATGAAAAGTCGAGTTGCATAGTCATGGTGATGCAGCGAAGAAACATTAATCCGCCTGTTGTTGGGGCAACTAATGGCTCTCATGAGTGTTGGCTTTGGAAAGGAATAAGTGCCTCGCACTGCTCAGGGCAGTAATTCGTTCCGCGTCCAAGCAACCACTATGAGAGCATTAGTGCCTCGCCAACAGCAGGCATTAATATATATACAATATTCAATGATTGTTCTTAACTATTAGTTTGACGGTGCACGATTACATGGTACTCGCAATTTCGAGTAGAAAACCCTGAGCTATCAAGGGCCAAACAAATGAGCGCATAAGAATTTTATAATAACTCTGCAAGTCCTGTAAACAAAATAAACAAAAATAAACACCAATATATAATGGTAAGAAATACCGTTAAGTTTTTCAGTACAAACTGTTGCTCTCCCAGTTTGACATTTTGCACATTCTCTATACACTATATATAGCCGCCGCGCCATATTTTGCAATTACAGTATTATTGCTAGTAATCGCTAACTTTATAAGTTCAATCGCGATATAATAATAAGTTCATCTTAATCTGTGTCTTGAGGACATGGCCCAGGCACCCACGTCTCACATGAATATTGCTAGTAAGATGGTTGGCTCTGACACCACACATCAGCCACTGTGTCATATATTTTAAATCACAATGTTATTGCTAGTAATTGCTAACTTTTTAGCTCAGTGGGAATTAGTGAGTTAAGCTCTTCTCTCTCTTTCTCTCTGTCTCTGTCTCTCTCTCTGTCTCTCTCTCTCTCTCTCTCTCTCTCTCTCTCTGTGTCTCTCTCTCTCCCTCTCTCTCCCTCTGACCTGAGCTTACCGTGACATCAGTCCACCTGGTAAGCAGTTTGGCTTCCTTGCCCATGAGGAACGAGTAGAAGCAAAGGTGGTTGACACTCAGGTACATCCAGCCCTGACGAGGAACCTTACCCTTCCAGTAACTGCATGAGTAGTCTATAAACAGCAACAACGTACATGACCAGATACATTTAATACATGCTCACCCGCTATGTCCAACCATAGGTAACAAATAACCGGTTCTGGAAAATTTGTTTCAACACACTATGACAGCAACACCAGTGTAGTTAGATCACTACTATTACTTTATTAAAGAAATACTACACCCTCGAATTTTAGGGTGTATTACGATAGTAAGTCCATGAATAATAGTATATACCTACAAATTTATATAATCATGCATTCACATTTGTCATCAGACAACAGTGAGTTTCGAAGTCATTATTTTTGGCCACTGACATGCCACCCCGTGATTGTGCTGCCACCCTGACAAAGTTTATTTTGCACATTACAAACCGAGGGCTAATCTCAAAAGTGCAATTATATTTATACCTAACTGCCATTTAACCAAACAATTTTTAACTTTAGGACAAATTCGTCCATATTATACCTGAATCTAAAAGTTGTTTATAAGAATTTGCAATTCTTCTCATCTTAAATGAATAAATAAGAAACACCTTCAGTCTAAAGGCTGCAGTTGAAAAGTTGAGATGCGCAACTTTGAAAGACGATGGGCTAGTAGTGGCGCCACTGTCATTGTAAGCAACGATACAGTCGTTAGTTTTGAAACATACAAAAAAAAATTCTAATGATCATTTTACAATGAAATAATAAATTCAAGTATTCTTCTCATAGGACACTACCGTACCTATTCCTATCTCATGTATTGCACAATAAACATGTTTTGCTCTTGGTACACTAAAGTATTGCATATGGCCAATTGTGACTCAACATAATGTTAAAATTGCCTGCTAATTTGTATCCAACTATATCAGGAAACGTAGCCAGATACTTACAATTCACAAGCTTTTCTTCAGGTGGCAGTTTGAACAGACGCTGGAATTTCTTAACCGCAGTCCGGAATTTCTCTGAATCATCGCCTACGAAATTGAAGAAATGATTAATCTGAAACCCTCATTGATATAAGACATCAGAATATAAGTAGACACAATTATACCTAAAAAGATGTTTATGATTTATGGATTGGAAGGGTGAAATAATACAGAGGAATAAAAGACAATAAATAAAAAATGGAGAAGGAAGGTAAACAGCAAAGATATGTTTACAATTATACAATTACCCTACAGTTTAGAGGGGTGAAAGAATAAGGGGAATGAAACACACTCAATAAAACACATTTAAATTAACTAAATTGCAAAAAACGTGACGGCATGCCCACAAACCACAAATTGTGGTCAAATAGCTGGTAATATTTACAATGACTGGATGATGAATATGGTAACGAATAATGATGATCCCAGCTGGTGCAGTTCATAAACAGCTGTGTATGTGTCTGTTCTATATGCATAGGCAGCTGTCTGTGTGAGGAATGTTTTTTTTAGAAAATCCGATGACCCCAACTCCTAACCACTTAAGTTAATTATTACGGTATAAGCTATTAAGCTTACTGGGGTATTACCAGATAGCACTTGAAACACTGGGTTTTCTTTTAACTTCACTTTTCTTTGACAGTTGTGTGTTGAATGATAAAAGACTGGCATCATGAATGCAAGAAGCCTGCTTTCTAATGTAGTATGCTCATTTAGATGTGTCTAAATTAGGAAGCAGGTATCAATACCTTCAAGCTGTTTTGCTGGAAACTGTATGGTCGTCTGGGCTAGCAGACTCTCTATTTTGCATCTCACAAAGTCCGTGATCTCATCATCATTGTCAAACTCCCCTAAATGGCCAAATATGTAATAGCATGCAAAAATCTAGGCATTACCTTGCAAACAACCATGCTGACCATATAAAGGTTAAATGGCTTTGCCTGATTCAATTATAGATAACAATCAATAGGTGTACGCAATTAAAAACACTTTCTATTCATTATTGAATCATTATTGTGATCATTGTAATTTTGTACACAAATTTGTCACACCAAGTGATTGCATCATGTGTTTTTCTAGCCATTCCCAATGCTCAGTGATCTCCTGTCTTGTCTCGGCAACTGCAACACCTGGAACCAAGTAACAGAATCAATTATATGCAACATCCTGAACAAAAACAAATACTAGATTGACTGGATCACTTTGAGTGAACTCATGCTTAAACATGATCACAGCTCAGTCATGCACATGTACCTACCATAGCTAACTTCTGCACCTGGAGTCTGGTGAAGAACTCTGTACGGTGGTGGCTACAAAATAAGAAATATTCATATAACAATTACTGAAATTATTCAAATGCATATGCACCTCAAAATAAGCCGTAACTTTTTTCATTTCTTTACATGGGTTTCAGACATAGAAATTAATTACTCTCTGACCTTAGTGTCAAAAACTGTATCTAGGGTTCCAACAAGAAGGGACGTCAGACCTCCTTTGGTATGCCCTTTACGACACTGGAGTGTGAAATACGGGTTCGCTCGTTCGGTGATCCTAAAACAAATTGTCCAGAAAGTAATCAACAAGATAAAATTCTGCCCACTCTGTCATGAACAAATGTACATCACAAATCATGTAAATATGTAAATAAGAATATATATATAATAATAGTAATAATAATGAATAATAAAATCATCATAAAGAAATTATCATGTTATGGCATGAGATTACTGCAGTATCAGGTGATACCTGCCTTATAGCTCTGCACAGAAAATAACACATTATTGCGAAGACACAGCGAAATACCCCCATCAAACAAACATGGAAGCTAATGTATAAAAATTGCTTTTAAAAAATAATGCCAAACTCAGCATTAACTTGTAGCAGGACTGAATAATGACGAATTGTCATTATTCACCCCCTGCTTGCAGTAGATAAAGCAGTAGATAAGCTAAACATTAGAGATTTAAAATAGCAACAGTGCATTTATTACAGATAAGGCTTTCAATGTGAATAAATATAGAGAGGAACCCAGTCTTATGGCATTGCAACAGGAAGAAACCACGTGTCTAGACAATTTACACTAGGTGACAATTATAAGTGAATATGAACATGTTGTAACAGTTTTGGAAATGTGTGCTGCTCTGTCACCATGTGTAACTACTATTTAAGATTTGCCTTATATAGTATCATAAATAATGACCCCTTTTCCCACATAAGGAAGAATGTGGACTTTATCGGATCTACCTTTCATGTGTGTGCAGACTCGATGCACCTCGGGAAAATAGGGGTTTTGTAAGGTTTCTTATGTAATCTTTACTTAAGTGTGTGTGCGTATACTCAATAATAGATTTTCAATACTTGCTTAGACATTGCTCTAGTTGCACTCTCGTATAAATTTGCATTACATTTTCAGGGGTAGAAATTAACTTTTGAACAAGGGAGTCCAACGGACTCCCTACCCTCAAAAAGAGGGAGTCCGCAGCAAAATAAGGGAGTCCGCAGTCTGAGGTTCAAAATTAAAGATATTAACAATAACGCATGTGCTAATTTTTAAGATTCATGCAGTTGCACGTCTGCCAAATTTTCTTTGGACATTAGCTGAAAAAATACAGTAATTCTGCGAGGCCATGCTTCGGAACAAACTATAGTTAGTATAGCAGAATTTTCAGGGAGTCACATGGACTCCTGCATATATGGCAAGTCAGGGAGTCCGACAGTAAATCAGGGAGTATTTGATTTTGACCTCCCGTTAATAAATAACTTAATAATGAAGTAGGAGGTATGTAAATGTTTTCGTTGCACTCGATCATTTGAGCACAATCATTGCTTTCAACACGTGCCATCTTCAAAGGATCCCTTTAAGCTTAGCCTACTGTATTATTTTCTGTCATTCCGTATTGGAATTCTCTCCCTTCCTCTTTAGTTAATTGCAAATATGAGGCTTTTTCTACTGTGATCCTCAGTGTTTATCTGTCTATTTGATCAACTCTATCTCTTTCTGTTTTCAATATAGTTCCTTGGACTTTGAAGACTAATATTTATGACGTTAAGAGGTTAGTGCCCTTGGCTGAAGAATATATTTACAAAGTGGCTGGAGGTACGGCAACCGTCACTGGTTGAAGCCCCTTTTGGCGTTCGTTTGAGGGCTGGAGCAATTGTTCGCGATCCTCTGATGTAAAGTTTACAATAATGTTCATTTTCATACATAATCCGAGTGTTTTCTAGCTCATCAACTCTTAAATCGTGAATTTATTTCGAACGGCATAATTTCGAAATCTGAATTAGCCGCCGCCATCTTTGTCTCGTTTGTGGGAAACCCTATAGACTGCCGTACCTGCAGCCTCGTAAATTGGAGATACAGCTGCCGTACCTCCAGCCACTGCCATATATTTATGATGTTTATGAGGTAAATGCAAGATTAAATCACAATCTTCACTCCTATGGCAAAAATCTAGTGCGGGGCCCAGACCTAATT